CAACCTCCCTCTAAGCCTTAAGCCTTTCTCAAGGCTGTCCTGGCTCCTCAAGGCCTTGGTTCAGAGGACACCTGCTTCCTTGGGGCCTTTCCTTGATGTACTCTTAGGAGAGTAAGTGGGAGGCTTAGTACCAGAGGGGAATTGCCCTGCCCTCCTCTACCAGTTGCATGACCTTGGGCAAGTCATCGTACCATCTAGACTCCACATTCCCCATACAGGACAGGGATGGTGGCAATATGCTCATAGCACCTTCCTCATGGTCCCTAATGGAGCATCTGTACATACTTCAGTTTTAGCCATTGACTGTTGCAATGTTAATGAAACAGGAACTTAAGAAAGACTATAGAGGGGTTGGGGATGTGGCTCAAGCGGTAGCACGCTCGCCTGGCATGCGTGCAGCCCAGGTTCGATCCTCAGCACCACATACAAAGATGTTGTGTCTGCCGATAACTAAAAAATAAATATTAAAATTCTCTCTCTCTTAAAAAAAAAAAAAAGAAAGAAGACTATGGAGCCAGTTAAGTATCACACGCCTGTAATCTCAGCAACTCAGGAGACAGACAGGAAGATCACAAATTTGAGGCAAGCCTCAGCAAATTAGTGTGGCCCTAAGTAATTTAGTGAGACCCTGTCTCAAAATAAAAAGGTTGGAATGTAACTCCATGACAGAGTGCCCCTGGATTAAACCCTCAGTACAAAATAAAAAAGACTATGGAGATAGGAGTTTGAAAGAGATATTAGATGTCCCTTCCCTTCCCTGAGGGATAGGGCAAGTGTTCACAGCAAACAGAGGTGGGCAGCACTGCCTAGAATAGGAACAGGAATGGGGAGGAGCTGGCACCCACAACTATGAGGTCCAGTTACCTCCAAAAATTTTCCAAAGCACCTGCTGCATATACCTCACAGACTAGGTAGACCTAGAAGAAACAGCCTGCCTGCCAAGGGTGTGGGGGCCCAGTCACAGGACAGGCTGACCAGGTTCAGAGCAGTCCAGGGAACTGGGGCAGGCCTTCTCCAACATCCAGCTTGCAGGACAACTCTAGAAAGTTCCCTAAGTTTTTTTTGGTACCGGAGAGTACAGATACACCACTTACAAGTGAGCCTCAGTATCATGAAGTGTCCAGGGTAGTGGTAAAGTTCAGATGAGACCGTGAAATGAGTGGGCTCTGCAAGTTGCAGAACTCTAAGGAGACCCACGAGACTTCTGGTCTCTCCACCCAGCAGGATGTAGCTGCTGCAAACTGAGCACTTACTGTCTGTCTGTCTGTCTGACACTGCGATGAAGCACTGGAGTACTTCAGACAATTTCACACAGTCCTCTTGAGGCAGGTGCTGTGTAGTTGCCATCTTACCATGGGGAAATTGAGGCTCAAAGTTACTTGACTTGCCCAAGGTCACAGGCAGGCAGCCTGGCTCCAGAGCCACCCTTCTCATAATTAGCAATTCCTTGTTCTCTGAAAGTTCCTCCTTGTGCCCATCTCCCCTGGAGCAATCCTCTCAGCCAGGAGGATGTCTTCTCTCCTCCCTCACCCCTAAGGGGCCTAGTACAACCTTGGGCACAAAGCTGGCACCTGTAGAGGCTTGTTGGACCCTTTCTGGCCAGCAGCCTTGTCTCTGATCAGGGAACTGGGACAGTATGTGGTGTCTGTCTCCCTCTGCTGGTCCCTTAGGGGACAGCCCAGTGAGATGCTTTCACCAGAGTTGGTGGTGACCTTGTCTTCCCCAATGGTGGATGCTGGTGATGTGGGACAGAGAACCCAGGGTCTGGGGCCTGGCTCTATCCCACAGGAACAGCAACGCTGCCTCCTTGAGCCCCTACAGTAGAAGCCCGCCTCTAACAGGGGCACCAAGGGGTGGTCTGAGGGAGGTCAGGTTGCTTCCCTGATGTCTTCCCTGGGGGGAGGGGGAACAGCAGGCCTCAAACAGCCTCTTTCCCCATGGATCCCATGAATGAAACTGTCATCCATGGATTTATCTAAACCTTTTGTGAAGCTATTTATATTTCCAGCGGAGACCACATTTGGGGGTAATGAGTTCCATCGGTGTCCTCCCCTGCTGGGTGGAGCACGCTGCCTTTGATTTGTCCTAAACTTACCTCACTTGAGCTCCAAGGGGGCCTGTAACTCCAGCATGCCTGAGCTTTCCCCTTCCCATCCCTGCTGTGGGTTTTAAACATCCCACCCCATCTCCCTTCCACCTCCAGCCCTGCAAACTGAAAAGACCTGGTCCCTGGTTGGTGCAAAGTGGGCAGCATGGGCATATCATTATCTCATGCCGGCCTCCAGCATGCAAAAGGGTAAGCATTCCCACTGCCCTCACAAGACCAAGGACACCCAGGGTGCAGAATTGTGGGGCCAGCATGAGACTCAGCTAGCAGCAGCAGCAGACCCCTCTGGAGCTCCCTCCCCTTGGGCTGACTATTTTGCCCCTACTCAACTGTCCTCTAAGACATTTTCCAGTTTCTGGACTCCAGGCCTTTCCTATGTAATATTTCATTGGGGAGACCCTCTTCCGCGGTCCCTGTGTGCGCTCGCCCTGGCTTCATCCAAGTTGATGATCTGGGGAATTTTTCTGTGCTTTTTTTGTGGTATGGTATTGAACCTAGCAGTGCTCTACTACTGGGAACAAGCACACAAACACCAGTCCCTTTGTGCACGCAGACCAGGTCAAGACAACCTGGTGAACCCCACACCCCAAGCCCCTGTGCCCTTTTGAGGCTTAGTTACCTCCACCTGGCAAACCTCCCGCCAGGAGTAATCCCACCTGCTCTCAGGCTACAGAGTAGGGCTGCAAGAAGCTACATCCCCACTCCTTTTTTTAAAAAAATATACTTAGTTGTAGATGCACACAATACCTTTATTTTATATATTTATTTTTATTAGTGCTGAGAATCGAACCCAGTGCCTCACACATGCTAAGCAAGTGCTCTGCCACTGAGCCCCAGCCCCAGCCCCAAAGTCCTTTTTATTTTATTTTTGAGATAAGGTCTTGCTGACTTATGCAGGCTGGCCTTGAACTTGTGATCCTCCTGGCTAAGCCTCCTGAGTCTCTGGGGTCATAGGCTTGGCCACCACACTCACCTGTGTCCTTTTCTGGTGTGTGGCTACTATGAGGATCAGTGCAGATGAAAGTGGCAGAAGCCATTTTAACAGCAGAGTAGAAGAGCTTTGACACTCTGTGAATCTTAATAGCAACCATTTGAGGTAGGGACCATTATTGCCCCCAATTTACAGATTAGGAAACTGAGACTTGGGGAAGATCAGCAATTTGCCCATTTTCACACAACTTGTAAATGATGGGGCCAGGATTCATACCTCAGTAGGCTGGCACCTGGAACTTCATTCTATACCTCAACAGGCAATCCTGGATCCCAGTCTTGTATCGGCCATCATCCTATACTCCAGTCACTCAACGCAGATGTAGTAAACCATTACTATGAGCCAAACACTGTTCTGATTCTGGGAGAAATGCCAGGGAACAAGAAAGGCCCAGGCAGGGCTTGGCAGGAGGGGCTGGCAGCACCTGCTGTGCCACACATGCGTCCCAGCAGTGCTCCACCAGCCTGGTGTGCTCCAGCAGCTCAGAGGTGCCCTGCCTGCGTGGTTGCTCCAGAGCAAGTGCACAAACACCAGTCCCCGTGTGCACGCAGACCAGGTCAAGACAACCTGGTGAACCCCACACCCCAAGCCCCTGTGCCCTTTTGCTGCTTAGTTACCTCCACCTGGCAAACCTCCCGCCAGGAGTAATCCCACCTGCTCTCAGGCTCAAGTAGGGCTGCAATGACATCCCAGGGTGGGACAGAGCAGGTGCCTGGCACCTCATCCTCACCAACCACTCCTCAGTGAATGTGCTCTTCCGGTCAACTTGTTCTCTAAGCTTCACCTCCCTCAAACTGTCCTTGCCCCAGGAAGCTCCTATCCAGATCTGCCCACTGCCATGCTTGACTTTGGTGATTCTGTGACTCATGTTGGTTTCTCCTAGGAGGCTGTAGCTCCCACTCTCCCCAGCTCGGGAGCCTCCTCTCTGCCAAGGTCAGCTACTGCCCAGGCAAACTCCTCAGAGCCTTGGCCTTGGCCATTCCTTCCACTTGCTTTGCTTGAGGTCTTGGTGCAAATATCAACTTCACCAAAGGCCAAACCAGCCATGCTGTTTAGAGTAGTCCTCACCCAACACCCCTCTCTCCCTCTCCAGGGTTCCTTTCTCCCCAGGGCACCCACTGACTTCTGTGCACTGTGTGGCTGAATTGTTCCTCTTGCTGACTGTCCCCACAGGGTGGGAGCCCCCCAAGAGCAGGAGCTCTGTCCTGCAGTCTTCCCTGTACTTAGAAAAGTGTATCTGAAGTATGTTGAACAAGTAGATTTGAAGCACCAAGGGAGGTCCCAGGCTCTGGGCTTCCTGCAACCTCTCACCTAACTAACTGGGTGAGAAGTGGTGACAGAGGGAAGAAATTTCCTACGAGATAATTATGTGGAACGGGGGTAAACTGAGGATTGAACTCAGGGGCACTCAACCACTGAGCCACATTAGTGGTTTTAGAGGACTACTCTAAAATAAAATTTTGTATTTTATTTAGAGACAGGGTCTCATTGAGTTGCTTAGTGCCTCAATATTGCTGAGACTGGCTTTGAACTTTCAATCTTCCTTCCTCTGCCTCCTAAGCCAACTAGGATTACAGGTAGCGCCACCGCACCCAGCCACATGATTATTTTAAAGGTGTGAAATGGTGACTGCCTTCTTCTACTTCACATCTGCCACCTGAAGACACACACACACCTTCACTGACTTACCTGCTCATAGGAGGCCACTTAATGTGGGGTGTGAACAAGACCATTAAGGTTTGGTGTTTGAAAGAATCCTAACAGAGCATCTCATCCAACTGCCTCGTTTTCTTAAGAAACAGGCCTAGGGCTGGGGCTGTAGCTCAGTGGTAGAGCGCTTGCCTAGCATGTGTGAGACACTGGGTTCGATCCTCAGCACCACATAAGAATAAACAAATAAAATAAAGGCATTCGTTTATCTACAACCACAAAAAAAATTTTTTTTCTTTTTTTAAAAAGAGGCCTAGAGAGGGGCCCCGACTCCCACATATAAGCAAGGTTACGAGGCTTACAGCGCAGACCCTGGTCCTCTTTGGGTTCCAATACCCATCTCTCATCCCACAAAAGAAGTTCCCCTTGGCTGCTGGCTCCTCTCTTCTGGGGCCTGAAGCCTGTGATTGGATGTGTCACCTGCAAGCCCTGCAGAGACTCCCATCTAAACTCACAGCCCAGGAGCTGGGGAGAGGGGGAAGTAGGACATCAGTTATAGGCTCTCTCCAGTGCCCGGGAGATGAGGGCGCCGGAACCTCCAGGGGGCCCCTTCAGGGTCACAGCAAGACAAGTTGGAAAGGGTCCTCAGGGAGTACCATATGCTCCCTCCACCCTCCCCCAGCACAGTATAGAGATGAGGAAACAGCCCAAGCCTGGAAGGGGCTTCCATGGTCCCAGAACATGCCAGTGTGGAATCTAAGACAGGAAACCCAGGTATCCTGGCTCCCAGCGCTAGGCTCCTTTTTGGTTTCCAAGTCCTACGGAAACCCCAGATGATTTCTGACTTTTGTTGAGGGGGTGGGAGAGTGATCAAAGACAGACTCCTTAGCAAAGTCCCTGTCTTCCTTCCCCTTGGGCCAAAGACCTCAGGGGACAAGATACTACAGCACCATCCGTATCCGGGACAGACATGGGATCGTTGATTACTCAACAGCCTTCCTCTCTTGCCTGCAGAGGACTCTTCATCCACTTGCTGCTCCAGTCGGCTGCTCAGTGGGGCTGGAGGAGAAGCTGGGAAGGCCAGGCTATCCCAGGGCAAGGTATCCAGAAAGGAGGAACAGTGAGGTAGCAAATGGCTACAGCTGCATTTTCTATGCAGACTGTAGGGACAGCTATGGTACAGGGAAGGTTGGCACCTGGGCAGAGGGCTGGAGGCTGGATTTGTTTCTTTCCTTACTATGCCGCGACTGAGTGAATGGCAGCTCAGCCGTTTTTTTTTCTTTTTTTTGGTACCGGGGATTGAACTCAGGGGCACTCTACCACTGAGCCACATTCCCAGTCCTTTTTTAGTATTTTATTTAGAGACAGGGTCTCACTGAGTTGTTTAGCACCTTGCCATTGCTGAGGCTGTCTTTGAACTTGCCATCCTCCTATCTCAGCCTTCCAAGCCACTGGAATTATAGGTGTGTGCTACCATGCCGGGCTGCGGCTCAGCTTTAATGGTTCCTAACACCTATCTACTTATCATTCAGGAAGGGCCAGGCCGCGAGTGACACACTAGGATACAGCAATGTGCAAAGCAGAAGTAGCCCACCCCCAACCCCACTGAGGCTGAAACACCAATCAGGAAGATAGACATTAAGTAAATAAACATATGAAATAATGTTGCAATGATAAGCATCATGGCCCCAACTGGGCTGGTCTCTTAGCTAGAGAGGACAACGGGAGCGGGCACTGAAGGCCTGTAGGTGCTGCTGCAGCTGAGCCCAAGGAAAAGAAGTCAGCTTGTGAGAAGGCAGAAGGCCACAGTGGAGAGAACAGGAGGTGCCAAGATCCCCAGGTCCAGGAGGAGTGGTGGAAGTGGTCCAGAGAACTGGCAAGGCACACAGATGATCAAAGGGAGGAGACAGGTGGAGAAATGGGTGGGACCTGGGATCCTGCAGGTTCAGGGTCAAGAGTCTGGATTTTATGGCAACCACTGGAACATGAAGACAAGGTAGAGGCCCTTCTGCTGCATGGAGGGTGAAGTAGCTGGGATAGGGTGGAGGCTGAAGGCCACTGAGTGCTGTTGTAGTCATCCAGGTGACAGATGGGTGGCTTAAAGAGGAGGGCCATGTTGCCATCTGGAGAGTATAGCAATCAAGATCTACTGAAGGATTGCACCAAGGAAAAGAGGAGGTTGGGGTCAGTCGGCTGAGCTAAGGGCTGGGAGGGAGAACATTGGAGGGGAAAGGGAAAGCAACGTCCTCCAGTAGGGATTTGAGGGTAAGGCAATAAGGATGAAAGTGAGCCTGGAGAGCAAGAGGCTAGGGGACACACGCAGCCTCCCCACCACCCAAAGAACCAGAAGGGCAAGGCCGGCCCTACAGGAACAAAGGACGCTCGCCCGAAGCCCTTCAGAGAGCCATCAAAAGTGGTGCTGCGGGGAACTCGGGGTCAGCGAGCCGCTCCAGGACCTCCCTTCCACACTCTTGGGCACAGAAGTCCAGAGTAAGCGGGAGACTTTGCAGTCGATGAACACACGCTCCTTCGAACACTCTAGGGTCTTTGCAAAACGTGCATAACCACGATTCCTTTTCATCCATTTCAGGGTTTCCCGGTAGTGCCCCTCCTCACCTCTGGCAGCCCCAACCCCTCTGCAAAGCTCACAGAGCGGGTTCGCTCTCCCGTGCACTGCCGAGCCTCTGCGTTAGCTCCTCCCTCTGCCAGGTACACTCTTTCCGGTATTTCTCTGTATATCAAAGAAGAGAATCGATGAAGGATCCTTGATGCCAGAATGAACACCCCCTTTCCACTCCTGGCTCCTGCAGTAAGTTACTTTAACCTCTTTTTGGAGCTGATGGCTGCTGCTTGTGTCCGAGTCCCTGACCCCGCTTGGATGCGGACAGTCTTGCCACGACCTGTCGGCCCGGACAGACGCCCAGGAAATCTGTACTACGTGACCCGGGCGGCCCCTCCAACTCCGGACTCCGAGTCCAGCGCTGCGTCCTCAGCACAGGCACCCCGCGCCCTAGATCTGCGTCCTTGCTCTCGGCGTTCCGCCGTGCAGCCCGCCCTGCTGCTCACCGCGCGCCCAGGCTAGCAGCCCTGCTCTCCAGGGGTGCAGACGGCGGGACCGGGTCGGGGAAGGGAAACGCCACCCGCAACGTGGATGCCACGCCCAGGGTCACGTCACGGGGCCCACCCCAAGGAAGCCAGCTCCGTCACGTGACTGAAGAACCTGCGAACGTTTTTCTCACGTGACCGAGGCGCCTTGTATGGACCAATAAGGAGGCGGGGGCGGGCCGGCTGGGGGCGGCGCGCGGGAAGGGAACCTGGGACTCTGGCTGTGGCCGCTGGAACCCGGTCCTGGAATACACCGCGGGCGGGTCCCCAGTCTCAGCTGAGTAGCAGGCTAGGCCCGGGTTTGTTGCTGGGGACAGCATGAAGTGCCTGGTCACGGGTGGAAACGTAAAGGGTGAGTTCTGGATGCCTGGCTGCGGGGCACGTGAGCCGGCCCGAGGCGCCCGCCTAACCCCCGCTCTGCTCTCCTCCCCGCAGTGCTGGGCAAGGCCGTCCACTCCCTGTCCCGTATCGGGGACGAGCTGTACCTGGAACCTTTGGAGGACGGGGTGAGGGGCTGGAGCGTGCGGGGGCGGTTCCAGCCGGGTCTCAGTGCTCCCGGTGCCAAGGGTGGTGACCATGAGCAGATTTGCCTGCGGAGTTTGTTCCCCCGGTGCTGGTCTGTCAGCTTGCACCCAGTCGCCTTTCCAGGCCTGCGTGTACACTCTGTGTACTTGCCCTCCCTGGAGTGCTCAGTGGTAGGGTAGGGGTGACAGATAACTAGGGGGCAGGACCGAGGGCCTGGGCTGTGGGAGGGGAGCTGAGTGCCTTGACGACTCCCAGGGGAAGGCAGATTAGGTTCCGACAGATGACAGTGGAGGGGGAGGACCAGAGGGTTGGGCCTGTTGCTGCTTCTGACCATGTCCTGTCCCCTTCCCTGCTTCGGGTCCAGCTCTCCCTCCGGACTGTGAACTCCTCCCGCTCTGCCTATGCGTGTTTCCTGTTTGCCCCCCTCTTCTTCCAGCAATACCAGGCAGCCACCCCTGGTCAGGACCTGCTGCGCTGTAAGATCCTGATGAAGGTGAGGCCTTTCTCAACAGGGGTGCCCTTTCTCCACCTGGGCATCTCCACTAGCTGTGTCTGCTCTGGGGCACTCTAGAGTTGGAAAATACATGCAAAATACAGTGGGTGTTCACAGAGGGTAATGGGAGCATGGAGAAGGCAGTTGATGATAGAGACCTGGAGAGGGTGGTGACATTCAAGTGGGTCAAGAAAAGTAAGCAGGTTTTTTAAGCTTTATCAGGCAGAGGGAACAGTGGACAAGGCCTGGAAGTGTACATATGTCCCCTATGTCATGGGAGCCCCTTTCCCAGTGTTTTTTGCATGGCCAGTGGTGGGCCAGGACCTATATGGATGGGAGAGGTGATGGACAGAGGTGCAGTTCCAGGCTGATGTGTCCATTTCCTGCTCAGTCCTTCCTGTCCGTCTTCCGCTCTCTGGCCATGCTGGAGAAGACTGTGGAAAAATGCTGCATCTCTCTGAATGACAGGAGCAGCCGCCTGGTGGTCCAGCTGCACTGCAAGTATGGTGAGCAGGCACCTGGCCAGTTAAGAAATGCCCTTGGGGGTTGGGGGGAAGGTTGGCAAGGCCTGTTGAAACCCTGTCTGCCCATCCAGGGGTGAGGAAGACTCACAACCTGTCCTTCCAGGACTGCGAGTCCCTGCAGGCTGTCTTCGACCCATCCTTGTGCCCCCATGTGCTCCGCGCCCCAGCACGGTGAGCACACCCCTGCCACAAGCTCAGCCCTGGGTCTTTCTTCCTTCTTTGTGACTTTACAGGTCAGTTTAAGAAGGCACCTCTTTCATTTTCCCTCCAGAGTTTCTGTGACCCTCAAAGACTCTTCAGCCCAGTGTGAAGGGCTCCTCACCCTGGTTGGGGCCCCTCCCTGACTCTTTAAAAGCAGAGGGCAGTGTGGAGGGTGCCGGGCAAATGCTCCCTTGCCGCATTGTCCTCACGGTCTCTAGGAGCTGTCTTCTCCACCCCAGAGGTCTGGCTTGGCTTTCTGCTGCTCACACCCTTCTCACTTCTGTCCTAAAGAGGTCATCTGGCTGCCGACAGGTCTCTTGTTTGACTTAAGTCACCTTGCAGGTCTGTCTTTAACCTTGTGCCTCAAAAGTTCAAAGCCCTTCTTTGGTCTGGTCGTCCTGAGGGTATCCCCATTTAAGGGCAGTCTCTCTTCCTAACTGCCCAGGCTCTGGCCTTGGGTGGTTCCCAAGGCAGGAAGCGGAACAGGGAAGTTGGGGTCCAGGAGGGCTACCAAATAGTCCGCCATGAGGGTACAGTCGTTCTGGGCAGTCAAAGCCCAGAGGGCCATGTGGGCCAGAGGAGGAGTCAGCTTTCATTGTGCCATGCTGGACACTGTTCACATTCAAGTTGCCCAAGGTCCCATTTATTTCTCTTGGAGACTGAAGGTCCTTTCAGGTCCTAATGTGTGCTTCTCCAGGTTACGTTGAGGCAGCAGTGATCAGGACTCCTTTGTATGGAGAACGAGAATGCTGTCCCCTTGGTCTGCATTGGGTGTCTCTTCTTTTGCTATCCATTCTATATTTATTCATTTCCTTATTTATTTTTATAGCACTAGGGATTGAAACCAGGGGTGCTCTACCATTGAGCTAAATATCCAGCGTTTTCTTTTTTTTTTTTTTAAGTTTTTATTTTGGGACAGGGTCTTGCTAATTTGCCCAGGCTAGCCTCCAACTTGCAGTCCTCCTGCCTCAGCCTCCTGAGTCATTTGGATTATAGGCCTGTACCACTGTGCCAGCTCTCTCCCTTTTTCAACATGGGCAATTGTTTATCTCTCTCTCTCTCTCTCTCTTTTTTTTTTTTTTTTACAGTTTCGAATACATACAGAAGTATAGGCCAGTTCCTGTCCCTTGTTGTTTTAAGGCAAATTCCGTATTATTTTATGTGTAAATACTTAATAGTGTGTATCTCTGGGAGACAAGCACATAAGTGCTCTGAGGGCCAGGTTCTAAGACTGGCATGAACATGGTGGCCTAGCCCTGCATGATCACATGTGCCTGCCCAGACTTCCCACTGCCTTCTCTCCCGTACCTGGGAAACTTTTGACCAGGCAGGGGTCACATTCTGCTTATCCTGTCCTGTCCTTCCCAGGGATGCTAGGCCTGCACACTGAATACATGTCTTTATGTCATTGCCCACACAGGATCCTGGGGGAGGCCATTCTGCCCTTTCCCCCCACATTGGCTGAAGTGACATTGGGCATTGGCCGTGGCCGCCGGGTCATTCTTCGAAGCTACCTGGAGGAGGAGGCAGGTGAGGGAGCCAGCATGCCCTGGTGGGGAGCTGGAGCTGGGCCCAGAGACCCAGGGCCTCAAGTTCTTCCTTGTGCCTGTCCAGCAGACAGCACCGTCAAAGCCATGGTGACTGAGATGAGCATTGGGGAGGAGGATTTCCAGCAGTTGCAGGCCCCAGAAGGAGTGGCCATCACTTTCTGCCTCAAGGAATTCCGCGTGAGCTTCCCACCACACCCACTGCCCCTGTCCTCCTGCCCAGCCCAGGCCCTCACTGCCTGCTTCTTTCCTCCCAGGGCCTCCTGAGCTTTGCAGAATCAGCACATTTGCCTCTTAGCATTCACTTTGATGCTCCAGGCAGGTAATTCTCAGCTTGAGGACGGGAGGGGGAAGGGCTGTGTCCTGCCAGGAGGGGAATGGAATGACCTAGTTTAGAGACCCTGTCCCTTGCCTAGGCCAGCCATCTTCACCATTGAGGACTCTTTGCTGGATGGCCACTTTGTCTTGGCCACACTCTCAGAGCCAAACCTGCACTCCCAGGACTTGGGCTCCCCAGAGCTCCACAGGCCAGTGCCTCAGTTGCAGGCTTCCAGGTGAGGGCACCCCTCCACCCATTCTTCCCTCCGTGTCTTTGTGCACCCCAGCATGAACTTGTTGCTTCCAGCTTATGCACCTCCCCCCAACACACACACACAAACTTCCTGTCAGGCCCCAGCCCTGCAGGCTCAGCCTTCATGGTCAGCTGTATTCAGAGACCCCTCCCACCCAGGGAGGCATCCCCAAGGTCCAGCTGACTTCCTTCTCTGGCTGAGGCTTTCCCTCTGAGCCTCCTCCCAGGCCAAGGAGGAAAAGGGCTGCTGGGAGGCAGGGAGCTTCCTGGGGTAGGGGAAGCAGGTGGCTAGAAGGGCAGGTGGGTTGGGGAGGATGGGCCCAGGCAGAGGAAGTTTGGCCTGGCCCCCCGCCCAGCACATCCCTGGGCTCTGGTGCTCTCCAGCTCTGTCCCCCTGGGAAGGTGGGGGCTTGGGCCCCATGTGGCCTCATGCTCAGGACTTGCTGCTCCCTTCCCCCAGCTGAGCTAAACTAGCCCCCGATGCCTCCCTCAGGCCCCTACTAGAACTTGGATCAAAGGGATTCCAGGCCCACCCCCTCCAGGAAGCCCCCACTTAACCCCTGCATCCTCTCTCTCCAGCCAATCAGGAAGTAATAAAACCAAGATCTCACCAGCAGTTTTGAGGCCCCAGAGCCTTCTCTGAGCCCTCCAGCGTGGGGCCTTCCTATGCCCCCTTTTCTCTCCCTGCTTCTGATACCCCATTTTTGCCTACAGCACATCCCACCTGGATGACTTTGCCAGTGATGACATTGACTCTTACATGATCGCTATGGAAACCACTGTAGGCAGTGAGGGCCCACGGGCACTGCCCTCCATTTCCCTTTCCCCCGGCCCCGCCTCAGAGGAGGAAGATGAAGCTGAGCCCAGTACAGTGCCTGGGACTCCCCCACCCAAGAAGGTAGGGCTGGGGGGAGGGGCTGGGAGGTGAGGAAGGAGCCGCCTGGAGACCTCATTGGCTTTCTCCTCTTTCCAGTTCCGCTCGCTGTTCTTTGGCTCCATCCTGGCCCCAGTCCACTCTCCCCAGGGCCCCAACCCTGTGCTGGCTGAAGACAGTGATGGTGAAGGCTGAACTGAGAACCCCAAGCATGTGTCCAAAGGCTGTGGACTAAAAGCCTCAGCCAGTGGCAGGGCTGGACCTCGGTCCAGGGGAGAGTAGAGAATCTGACAGTGCTGGTAGTGAGCTGGCAGTTCTGCGGCCTCCTACAGGACCTACCTGGCTGGCTGCTGCAGGGCTGCCCAGCTCACCTGCCTGGCCCGAGTCCTGCCATCCCCACAGCCTGCAACCAGTCACATCTCTTCCCTGGCCGGGTGCCAAGCTACACTGACAGGAGGTTCCTTACCTCTTATTTACCATTTAGGCTCAGGCCAGGCTGTGGCCATCTGGCCAGGGCCGGAAGCCTGCCTCCCTCCCTTTCCGCCCTAGGAAAAAAATCACAATGGGGCTCCTGCCCCTGCCGATCCACTCTCTCTGCTGATCATGAATGCCCTTCCCTCAAACGCTGGGCACATCTCTGGGACTCTGTGGATGGAAAGGACTGTTTCTCTTGCTTTTTCACTGTCATCTGGCCCTCGCTTGGAATTCCAAGAGCCTCTGGACCCAAGTGTATGGCTGGGCCTGTGCCCAGCAAGCCTGCCTGCCTTAGTGTTTCTGTGCAGAAAGGCTGCCAGCCCAGTGTTTGGGACAAGAGAGACAGAGGACATGGAGAGAATCCAGCTTTGACCTTTATTCAAGAGACCAGATGGGTTGCCCCAGGATCCGGCTGCCAGCCCTGTGGCCAAGCACGGCTGGAGACCCACAATCTGGCCTGCCATTGCCCTGAGCTGCAGCCTCAGCCCCAGGATCCCACTTGTACCCACCGCAGGTACAGGTGGGAAGGAGCCCTGGGGGATTGGACGCTGCTATTTATTCATTAAAAAAAGAAAAATACACCAAGGCTCCATGTTCCCCGTGATGGGTGGGCCTAAGGGGCCTGTGTGATCCCCATGGCAGCATGATTTCTCTACAATCAATCCATCATCTGGGGCAGAGGGTGGCACACGGAGGTTATTTCTTGGCTTTGGCGGAGTTGCGGGGTGGGGTGATGGGTCGGCCTCCAGGGTTCAGGCCACTGAACTGCCCATATTTCCCCTTGTTCTTGTCAGCGGGCTTGAGGATCTAAAAGAGACAAAGATAATCAGGCTCACAGTGCTGGGCCACAGGGCCCACCAGCCCCTTCCCCACACCTACCTGGAAGGAGCACATGAGGGTCTCATCCACACTCATCATGGCACCAGCATTGTCAAACTCACCACAGTAATTGGGAGCTGAGAAAAGTGTTACCAGCTGCCGCTTGGCAAAGAACTCATAGCCATCTTCTACCACCTGGGCAAGGATGGGAGCAGTTAGGTCCATAAGCATGGCTTTCCCATTGTCCTTCCTGCCCCTATCCAGGGCTGTTGGCTCACCTGGTGTGCCCGGCAGATGAGGTCCAAGTCGTGCTTATGCAGGAATTTGGCCACCACCTCAGCCCCAAAAGTAAAGGAGACGCCACGGTCATTCTCGCCCCAGCCCTGCACATCCTTGTCAGGGTCAGACCACAGCAAGTCACACAGCAGGCCTTGGTCAGGCACGTCTGTGGGCCGCATGATACGCCGAATCTGCTCCATGGACTGCAGATCTGGAGACAGGCCTGAGGGGACAGAACATTTCCTCAAACAAGCATCAAAACAAAGATCTCCCCCAGGGAGCCTCTGGGAACCAGCTTCACTTCCCACCACACTGCCCTTCTCCTGGTCTCAGGAGCCCAGGCAGGCAGATTCAAGTCCCAAGCATAAGTACAAAGATGTCCTAACTCTCAAGCCCAGAGCTCCCTGAAGGAAGACATTGCAGGATGCAGAATGCCACAACAGGAAAAGAGTGCAGCCTAACAGTGTGGCACAGGGGGACTTCCTGTCAGTGACATCCAAGATTAGACCTAAGGAGAGCTGTTTGAGGCAACTAGGAATAGTCCTGCTAAGAGCTTTGTTTGGAGGCCCCAGGGACGTGGCCTATGCTCCTTCTCAGGCATTTCCTCAGCATGTGCCTACAGCCACCCTCACCTCCGTGGCAGCAGAAGATCTTCTCGTCCACAATGGCTGCAATGGGCAGGCAGTTGAAGCAGTCGGTGAATGTTTTCCATAGTTTGATGTTGTAGCGTCTCTTGCCTGCCCAGGGGAAGGAGATGGCTTGTGGGGAGGCCTGCCCACCCCATCCTGGTTCTCCAGGCCCTCCAGAGTACTTTGAGAGTGTTCAGGGTAAGCTAGAAAAGGAGACTGCAAGGCAAGGAAGGCTCAAGCCCACACCTGGCCCCTACCAGTCATCTAGGAGTAATTCTAAAGCACCTGAGTCTGTAAAAATCTGGGTTTCAATCTGGTTCAACCTTGGGGGTCAGAACCTTCCCCCACCCCAGGAGTAAGACCAGGCCACAGGAGCATCCTAAGTGCCTAAGCAAAGGATATACTGGAGGAGTGTGTCCCCAGGCAGGGCCTTAGTGGGAAGTGTAGTAAATGGACAGTCCTCCAGGCAGCATCCATTCACCAGACCCTCTTGGGTGCCAGGCCTCACTCAGGCCAAGAGAACAGGGCAGGAAATGACCAGCCCACCAGGGATCTGCCAGGGTCCCATGAAGAGTAGTGTATGCAGTTTGGATCCAACACTCAGACCACTCACATTCATCGTAGAAGCCATAGATGCGGTTGATGCTGGCACACTCGTGGTTCCCACGCAGCAGGAAGAAGTTCTCAGGGTACTTGATCTTATAGGCCAGTAGCAGGCAGATGGTCTCCAAAGACTGCTTGCCCCGGTCTACATAGTCCCCCAGAAAGAGGTAGTTGCTCTCTGGAGGGAAGCCACCATACTCAAACAGCCGCAGGAGGTCATAGTACTGGCCGTGGATGTCACCTGTGACCCAGGGAACTGAGTAAGCTAGGTGCCAGATGTGCACTTGAACCCAGGACCAGAAATGGGCTGGAGGGAAGAGGGATTCAGGAATTTTGGAGAGGGGGGCAATGCCACTTTCAAGAAGCCAAAGGGTCCTGGGGGGGCCTCACCGCAGATCTTCAGGGGAGCCTCCAGCTCCAGAAGAATGGGCTGGCTCAGGAATATCTCCCGGGATTTGAGGCACAGACCACGGATCTCGTTCTCTGTCAGCTGTACATTCTTCCCAGGTCGTGAGCCCTGCACTGGGGGCGGAATGGGGTGTTAGGAGCCTGGCCCCCCGACAGGAGGTGGGTGGACAACTCAGGTGGCCCCTTGGGTACCTCTGGGGGCGGCTGGGCCCGGGCTTGGCCAGGCCAGCTGCTGCTGCGGGGCCTCCAGGGACTTTCTCCTCCAGCCTTCCAACAAGACCCCCAACTACCCTGGGGGCCCTCCACAGGGGGCTGCTGTGCGCAGGGGCCTGTCACCCAGAGCTCAAAGCAGCGCCCTTCCTGGCTACGCTGCACAGGTTTCTCCCTCGCCCTAGGAGCCCAGGCCACCCGTGCGCCCCTGCCCAGGAGAGGGAGTTGCTCCGCCTGCCGGGGAGGCCCGGACCCTTGAGGCGCGCCGCTGGGGGGGGGGGTGCGCCGTGGCCACGGGACCTCGCGGCGCGTCCCCGCCCAGTAGACGCTGGCCCCGGGAGGGTCAGGCCCGCCCGCGGCCACTTCCGGGCTGGGCAGGGGGCCAGGGCGCGGACCTTCCCCACCCCGGCCAACCTTCCAGCAAGCGCCCGATGATAGAGTCCAAATTGAGCTTCTCGCTGTCGGACATGGCGGCGCCGCCGCTCCGGCCCAGCAGCTCCGGGCCCGCTCCTCTCTCCCGCCCTCCCGCAGCCTCCTTCCGGCCTGGCGCTCCTTCCGCCCGCCCCGGCCCGCCCCGGCCCGCCGCCCCGCCTCCTGGCCGCCCGCCCCGCCGCGCCGCGCCGCACCCCGCCGCGCCCCGCCGTCCCCCGCGCTCTAGCGCCTCCGCTGGACGTGAAGCGCCACGGCCGCGACGGCCCGGGGGCGGAGTCTCAGGCGACGGGGTGGGCCCAGCTGATATTTGGTGGGCGGGGATTGGTGGGTGGAGTTTGGTCTGGTCCCGCCCTTAAGGAGTTGCCCAGCTGTGTTCAGATAATTTGGGACCGGAAGTACCTGGAAGTTGTTTTTCTCTTGAAGTCTTAACACCCCTTCCTATTCCTGCCCTGAGTGTGAGCACGTTAATAATCACCTCCCCAAACACTACAGAATAAAACCTCCAAGTGCAGAAAAAGAAACTATGGCTTGGAGATAGCAGGGGGCTATTCCAAGAACTAGGCCTCGTCATATTCTCCTGGGTCTCTGTGACCCCCAGGCAGCTGAGCAGATCCAAGGACACCTGCCACTGAACTCCAAGCGTATTATCATGCACATTGCCTGGGTGCTTGCTAAATTGATATTTTTTTATGAGTCTCATAGTTACTTTTTGAGTAGCATAGTAATATTGCATTGTGTGCATATTAAAAGGGTTACTTTATAGAGAGCAAACATAAAGTAAACTATAAATCTTATTGGAACCCTGAGTTGGGTGTTTTACATACCAGTAACCTCAAAACTGGAAATGACCTGGCTTTTCACCTCTGGCAGGCTCCAGGCCCCAACGCACAGGCCTAGGGGGAGGTGGGAGGAGCCGAGGTTCAGGGGCACAGGGGCAGGCAGGAAGAGCCTCAGAGAGGAAGGGGTGACCCCCCCCATACACACTTGGGAGGGGCCCTCAACCGCTCACTGAAGCTGAGTCTGAGGAGGAAGTGAGAGGAGGAGGTGAGGTAGAGCAGGGAGGTGAGCTGAACTGGTGGGGACAGGCTGGGCCTGGGGCCTGGTCTCTATGGAGGCCTGGCCTTTATGTCACCTCGGGGACTAGCCCACTCCCCATTAAAAGAGGGCACATAGGGGGCTTGTTCAAATATCGTGAAATCTCACTCTGAGGCCGGGCAGTGGTTGACCGGGAACCCAGGCCCCAGGTTGGCCAGGAGCAGCCCCTCACAGTGATTCTCCCCAGGTCTTTCAGCCAGTGGCATTTTGGGGTCTAAGGCGCCATGGCCCAGGCCCTGGGGGAGGACCTAGTGCAGTCTTCCGAGCTGCAGGATGATTCCAGCTCTTTGGGGTCTGACTCAGAACTGAGCGGGCCTGGCCCCTATCGTCAGGCTGACCGCTATGGCTTCATTGGGGGAAGCTCAGCAGAGCCAGGGTAAGTCGGGCAGGGATGGGAGATGGCAGGGTGCAGGGACCGAGGATGGGGGGTGAGGGCTGAATTCTGGAGTGAGGCTCAACTTCAAGGATCTGGGGAGGGTCTGGTAGCTGGACTGGACAGAGACTCAGCCAGTATCATCCCTCCTCAGCTCTAGGAGTAATCCTAAAGTGGGAAGGGTAGGTTCCTGTATGTCTCTTTTACCTCAGCTTCTAAGGATTTATACCCATCCCTGGGGGTGAACATCTTTCCCTTTTTAATCTCTGGCTCAGGAATCTCAGATCCAAGTCACAGAACCCACAGCTCTTCTCCCCTGCCCAATGTGCAGACAGGAAAACGAGTCCAGAGAAAGACAGAAATTTGTCTTAGGTCACATAACGGGCCCAAGACAGAAGTAGACTCAAACTTGGACCCTGGCTTCTAGTCCAGGGCTCTATCCAGCTAGCTTTCCATGCGAATTGTCTGTGTTCCTGATCTGGGTGACAGTCACCCAGCTCCTCCCTAGCCCATAGTTACACCCTTTAATTTTTTTCCTGTTTCTGCCCACATCAGAGCTCTATCCTTTCCTATCCCCATGACTATCATTGACAGCTTCTGGGTCACAGGTCACCCTCTAGGACTCCCTAGAGAGCCCCAGTGCCAGGAACTAGGTTTACCTGAGTTATCTGGAGGGGGAAGGTGTGGGCTCTGAGGAACAGCTACCAGCACCTGGATACATGTGCTGTGGGTTCCCAGGCCAGGTCACCCCCCTGCAGACCTTATCCGCCAAAGAGAGATGAAATGGGTAGAGATGACCTCACACTGGGAGAAGACCATGTCCCGACGGTACAAGAAGGTGAGAGAAGAGTGACCCATTAGGCCCCCTTGCCTCCTTCCTCTCTGCCTCACCCATTGCCTTAATAAAATTTGCCCATGCTGTGACCCAGCACTTCCTACCTTTGCCCCCTCCCCCTCAGGTGGCCCCCTGGCCTATGGGAGTGTACCAGGGACCTGTCAACAGCAGCAAGTAAGGTCAACCTAATGAAGCCCCTCTGCCTGGCCCACAGGTAAAGATGCAGTGCCGGAAGGGCATCCCTTCAGCTCTGCGGGCCCGGTGCTGGCCTCTGCTGTGTGGGGCTCAGGTGTGTCAGAAGAACAGCCCTGGCACCTATCAGGTAAGGGAATTACCTCCCCTTCCCAGAGCTCCGTATTACCCTGGATCCTTGTACCCACCTTCCTGTCCACCTGCAGGAGCTGGCAGAAGCCCCTGGAGACCCACAGTGGATGGAGACCATTGGCAGAGACCTACACCGTCAGTTCCCTCTACATGAGATGTTTGTGTCACCCCAGGGTCATGGGTACGAGGCCATCAATACCCAGGGACCCCAGCTTCCCCACTGTAGCTTTACATCCTTTCATCTCAGGGGACCCAACAAGGCCCAGGGAGGTTGTAGCCTGGGTAGAGGCCACAGAGGGTGGGAGGGGGTGTCTGGGGACCTAGCCCCTGATGGGGTCTTCTGGCACAGGCAGCAGGGGCTCCTGCAGGTTCTCAAGGCCTACACCCTGTATAGACCAGAGCAGGGCTATTGCCAGGCCCAGGGCCCTGTGGCGGCTGTGCTGCTCATGTACCTGCCTCCGGAGGTAAGTGAGCTCAACCCTGCCTGGAGACCCCCACCCTCGATCCCTAGTGACCTGGGCCCCCACAATTGATCCTCAGCTCTGGACCTATGACCTCCAAGCCCGGTAACTCTAGCCTCCGGATCCTCTACTCTCAGACCTTGTCTGGAGACTCAGGGCCTCATGGCCTCCAACCTCACTCAGTGATCTTGAAGCCTAATGACCTTGACTCCAGGAACACAGACCCCTTGACCCTGTCCCTAATCCAAGTGATCTAGGAGTCTGGACATTTTCACCTTAATTTTTTTGCCTCTTGATTCTGGATCCTGTGATCATGGACTCTGTCGCCAATGATCCTAGGAATCCAGGACTTGAACTTTATGACCCTCTCAACCCTTGCCCTGGCTCTGTGACCCTCAAGTCCAGCACCCTGAGTCCTGAAACATCCAACCCCTAAGCCCATCTGTTGGCCTTGTCTTGGGAAGAGGGGGGCTTCTGGTAAGAACCACCAGACCCTGAGCAGAGCAGGAGTTGCCCTGAGTCCAGGCTCCTGACAGTGCTCCTGCACCCGCTTCCCCATCCTGCCTCCCAGTATGGCCCTTGCTCAATGGGCACTCACAGGCCTGTGCCCTACCCTAGGAGGCCTTCTGGTGCTTGGTGCAGATCTGCGAGGTCTACCTTCCTGGCTACTATGGGCCCCACATGGTGAGAGGCTGGGATGGGGCAGGAGGCGAAGGGTGGGGGCTGCAGAAACCTGGGTTCAGGGAGTAGAGGTGTTGGGCGGCTCTGGCCAGCTGAGTTGATGGACGTGGTCACAGGAGGCTGTGCGTCTGGACGCGGAGGTCTTCATGGCCTTGCTACGGCGACTGCTCCCACGTGTGCACAAGCACCTGCAGCAGGTGGGCGTCGGGCCCCTGCTCTACCTGCCTGAGTGGTTCCTGTGCCTCTTCGCCCGCTCCCTGCCATTCCCCACGGTGCTGCGCATCTGGGATGCTTTCCTCAGCGAGGGTGAGTGGGGCAGCCCCAGTGGCTGGGGTCCAGAGATTTGGGGTGCACTGGGGAGCCCGCTCACTAGCTCTCAGTTTATTCTGCTTGGTAACTGCCACTCCCAGTCTTTTGGGGCCTTGAACCAGGGGGGGTTGGATGTGGCTCGGGAGAAGACAGCCTTGTCCCAGGTGGTGCGTCACCCGTGTAGTGCATCGGAGCCCCCTCCTGTGATGGGGAGTACCACAGGGAGGCCAGCACTGCTTGGGCCAGGGCTGGGCCAGGAGGTTTCTGCTGAAGGTGGAGGGAGCTGGACTGGTCCCAGCGCCTGGCATCTGAGCAGCTCAGAGGCGGGCAGGACTGGGACTTGGCTGAGGGAGGAGGCTCCTCCTGGAGCCCACAGCCGACTGCCGAGCACAGCTGGGCACCAGGCGAGGGTGGCTCTGGCAACAAGAAATACCAAGTGTTCCAGACCTCATTCTGGTGGGGGTGGGGTGGGAAGTGACTGTAGCCAAATTAAGGAGATATTTATAGAATGTCATAGTGCCATGAAGAAAATAAAACAAAGGATGTGACAGAGTGTCAGGAAAGTGGCAGGAAGTTCTTGCTATCTTTAAAGGTGCTCTGGCTGGAGGTAAACAGAAGGGTCGTGGGTGGAAGTTGGGAGCAAAGAACGGGAGGATCACGAGGGGAGAGCCAGGCAGTCTTGGGGTCTTCTTGACGCGCCTCAATAGCCCCATAAGCACCCCACCTGTGATGTCCAGAGCTCGTTCCTCAAAAAGCAGTGGTGATTGAGTAGTACCTCTCTACTGCTTCAGATCTTCCACACAGGGAGGACCACTGGTGTCTGTCCAAGTCACCATCCATGTGTCACCTCCCCTCCAGCCGCAGACCCCGAGGGCAGGGTCATTTATGGTGACTGAGGTGATCCCTGCCCCCTCCACCTGAGGACAGGCATTGCACGGACACCCTTTAATAGCGATGATGACGTTAGCGGTGTCAATTGTTCCTTTACAAGTCACAGTTGTCACTAGGCCTTTCTGGCCCCCTGGCTGCTCTTCTCAGCAGATCAGAGGCTGCCAGGAAGGAACTGTGAGGCTCCAGGAGTGGCTCAAGGTCATGTGTGTGGTGTGTGTGTGAGTGTGCATATGTGTGCACAGGCACATGAATCCTGTGCTCTTGGTTCAGGCATGAGAGAAGCTCTGCCTAGAATCTTTCTAGAACCAGAGGGTCACAGATCCAAGCTGGAAAGTCCCGAGGCACCCATTGGACCTTCCCATATAGAGGATAGAGCTCAGGTGGTAGAGTGCTTGCCTTGGATGCAGAAGGCCCTGGGTTTGATCCCCAGCACCACACACAAATAAATAAAGGAAGGAAGCCGAGGCCCAGAGAAGGCTTGGTGTGTGCTCTCGGTCTCCCCTGGCTCCTGGCAGGCTGCTCCGCCTGGAAGTGTCTGGGGCTCCTGAGGCTGAGTTGGCCAGTGCAGGGGCCTGCAGTCCCCAAATCATGGTCTTCCCTCTGTCATTGCTCCTGGCCTAAGTTGGGTGGGGGCAGAGCTGCAGGCTGGTGGAGAGAGCATGACTGGGGGCAGGTTCAGGTGAATGGCCGAGGGAAAGGCTGGCTTCCTGTGAGTGAGTCCCTGGCTGCAGGTGCCAAGGTGCTGTTCCGAGTGGGGCTGACACTGGTGCGCCTGGCACTGGGCACTGCAGAACAGCGCATGGCCTGCCCAGGACTCCTGGAGACGCTTGGTGCCCTTCGAGCTATCCCTCCCGCTCAGCTGCAGGAAGAGGTCTTCATGTCCCAGGTGGGTGCCCCCTGCCCACCCTCCTCGATGACCCAGCCCCTGATGCACAGCTGGGTAAACCGAGTCACCAAGCTGGAAGCCCTAGTGAGAACACAGTCGGCTCCTGTCCCCTGAGCTGCAGAGAACGTGAGAACCCTAGGCTCAAGTGACTTTCTGTGGCTCCCCCCGCTAGGCTGCCTGCGAGTCCCTCAGCCCTTAGCCACTTCCTGGGGCTGTGTACTGCCTGCCTGTGGAGACCTCAGGGTTTCCTGCCTGTGCTCTGGTCCCAGTAAATTCTGCACCAACTGCTCCCCACAGGTACACAGCGTGGCCCTGTCAGAGCGGGACCTGCAGCGGGAGACCAGGGTCCAGCTGGCCCAGCTGTCCAAGTCAGCACCTGAGCCACTACCTCGGCCACAGGCCCGCCTTCCTGGGGCCCAGGCCATCTTCGAGGCCCAGCAGTTGGCAGGGGCACGAGGGAGTGCCAGGCCGGAGGTACCTCGAATCGTGGTACAGCCCCCAGAGGAGACCACGCCACCACGGCGCAAACCCCAGACTCGTGGCAAGACTTTCCATGGGCTCCTGACTCGGTCCAGGGGACCCCCCATGGAGGGTGCCCCCAGGCCCCATCGAGGCTCTGCCTCCTTCTTGGACACCCGCTTCTGAAGGTGCCATGGACTCAGTCCCCCAGTCCCAATCACCTGAGTGGCTGATGCCAGCCCTGAATGTGGGCACTGTACTTTACTGCTGGGATTTGGTGACTCATCTTTGTTCCCAGCGAGGACCATGCAGAGCGGGAGGGGAGAGTCCCCTCCACTTTATGGACTATGTCAGGCATGAGATCAAAGGTCACAGAAGGGGGCGTGTAGGGCAGGCTGGCCAACCACCCGTGAACCTGTCTTGGTGCCTGTATCAAAGAGCTGGAAGATTGTGGGGTGAGGCTGCTGGCTGGGCTAAGGGACCCTTGAGGGCTCCTGGAGGACCTGGAATAAAGTCTGACTGAGCAGATGCCTGGATGGATTGGCAGAAGCCCTGTGCCCTGTCCCTGGACCTGCCATCCCTTCCCCTCCTGCCCTCACCCACCCTCCAGACCTGCCCTCTCCTTTCTGACTGGGGACTCCCTGAGGCTGCCCATTGGCTTCTGGGGAAGCTGTTTACCAGCAAGAGAGCTGGTAAACCACCTTGCTCCGGCCTCTTGGGGGCAGGTAAGGCTCATGCACCTTGGGAGGAGGACTCCCCAGTGGCACTTGGGCCCAGGAGTGGGGGGCTAGTCTCTATTCCACCCCTCATTCCCCTCCCCCTAGGCTGGTTCAGGACTCCCTGGGGTGGAGGGACTCTCACCCACTTCCGTGCCCCCTCACCCATGCTCCTGGTCCTGTCAGTCAAAGGGAGCCAGAAAGAACAAAGGCCTAGTGTGCCCAGGACAAAGGAGAAAGGTCCCGCCAGCTCTTGTCTCTCCCTAAGCCCCAGTGCTCCCCCTCGAGACCGCCACCATGGAAACCCCCTCCCACACTCACTAATTGCCCCCGTGGGTGCCTGGGGTGCTTGGGACATGAGCCATTGTCAAGACAACAGGACTGGTGCCCGTGTAGGCTTGTGTCCCCACAGTGCCCATCCCTATCTCCCTGTTGCCTGCCCCGGCAGTTCCTCAACAGGCCACGGGTAAAGAACAGAGCAGGGGCACAGGGGGAAGTGTCTGGAGGCCCAGGCTTCCATGGGGACAGCCTGTCACCATGACTGTGCTGGAGCACTGGCATGGCCCCTGTCAGAGTCTGAAAGTGGAGCGTTCTGTCTATCCACAGGCTGCAGAAATGCACTCAATCTGTATGTTCTGTGGCACCTGCTAGGGGCCTGGCCAGGCCTGGGTGCAGCAGACCTGTCCCACTCCCACAGAGCCTGCTGCCTGGAGGAGGGACTCCTGGAGGGCCAGACCCACATCTGTAGTTTCTCTGGGGAAACTGAGGCTCAGGAGTGGAGGAACTTAACCTAAGGCCTACGATGACCCAAGATTTACTCCAGGCCCTGCCCTTGGCAGCCCATGAACCAGCCCCCCTGGATCCCCACCTTGGCCTGCCCTCCTGGACGTCCTCTGTGCTGCTTCACTCCCTTCCTGAGCCAGCCCAGGCTCCAGCTCTCCCGCCTGTGGGGCGGCAGTGGGGACCTCCAGGGTCCTCCCGCTTTCCTCTTCCCCGCTCACTGGATACCTGGACCTTAATAACAGTCTTACCTGAAGTTCTGTTCTGTTCTGTTTTTTTCTTTTGGCAACGATGATTGAACCCAGGAGCACTTAACCACCGAGCCACATCCGCAGCCCTTTTTTGAATTCTGTTAAGAGACAGGGTCTCATTGAGTTGCTTAGGGCCTAATTGGCTAAGGCTGGCTTTGAACTTGAGATCCTCTTGCCTCAGCCTCCCAAGCCACTGGGATTGCAGGTGTGTGCCACCTCACCCAGCCTAAAGTTCTTAAAGCCCTTTCTCAGATCTGCACCCACCCTGCATTTTTCTACAGGTGGCCCCAGCACAGACGGCCTTACTAGAGAGAGGGAGGCTCTGAAATACTGAGAGCTCATCCCAAGGCCTCAGCGAGAGGCAGAGGAGCTGAGTACAGAGCCTGAGACCCTAGAGGGGTCTGTAGGTGGCCCCTCCGGCTCTGTACAGAGAGGGGGGAGTCCACCCATGAGCCACTGTCCAGCAGTCCTGCTGGGAGACCAGGGGAGGCAGAAGGCCATGAGCTGGGGTGGTGAAGGCGTTCCTGCACCCGCTGTCTGACAGGGTCACAGTGTGGGGGACGCTGTGGCAGGGCCGCGCCATCTGGAAACCAGAACCATTAAGAATGTTAAGTGTTTTGTCTATGATCCTCATGATATGGATAACAGGGCATACGCCACTCAATAATAAAAGTACGTATTGCCTGAGATCGCAGGAAAATTCCCAGAATGAGACCAAGGATACAATGGAGACAGGCCATGAGGTGCGTTTCAGTGTCTTTCAGGATACAAACAATGGCGTTATTCCTCAAGCCTAAGCAACGAGAAATATTTATCCCATAGTTAACAATTTACATAACCCCCTCAACCCCATCCTAAAGCCACAACCTGTACAATAGCCTAGCTACAGGAAAAACGATCGCTGTGCCAACAGTACAAGGACCACCGATAGCTGTGCCAACAGTACAAGGACCACCGTATGTAGCTTATGGTATCCCCTCGGGGACAAGAGGCTAATAAAAACACATTCCCCAACCAATACACCCTCCTTTGCCTTACACAGAAACTTATGAAAATGGAAAACACAAAGTTCATATAAATGACAAATGGGTTGAGGTGTAAAGCCTGCCCTTTAGTTAAAGATTACAAAGACAAAACAATTGGTGTGCTTTGACCAAGGATCAAGGAAGTTCTTTAAGAAAGCAGTTGAATAGGTCATATGAAAAAAAGAAAATTACCTTGAAAATTAAAAATAGAATAATATAAAATTAACATAGATATATTTTAGAGGCACTTCAGAGTAGTAGGCTTTTAAATAATAGACTTTCACTACTTTTGCTGAGAGCCATAGCCAAGTAGGAATGACGCATGACATTTTGGGTTGAAAGGTGGCCCTGCTCAGGGATTAGGGTGGCTCCAGGATTAGGGCGGATCCTGCTGGGATTAGGGCGGATCCTGCTGCCTCAGGCGCCCGCTCCTGTGGAGTTCCCGTTGAGTTCTCGCGGGGTTCTGAGAGAATTGGTGCGCGGAGCCGAGTGGAGGCAGGGTGTTCACGGGAAGTGTGGGTAGAGTGTCAGTGAGAGTTCGGGAATAAAGAGTTGCTGTTTGAATCTACAAGGCTTTTGTGGTGGCTCGGTTATTTTGTGCCCAGCCAGACTGTGGCATACTTTAAGTGTGTTTTACTGGGATTTTAGTTTAGAAGTAAGAAAGCTTACCAATAATCATAAGTATGCTTTAAAGTTAAAGGTTAATGAAATAATTATAGGTATGCTTTAAATTTAAAAGTGAATAATAGGTCAGGAGTCATGTAGTCTGGTTGTGTCGCCTAGCACCTAGAGATTGAGGTGAAAACGTAAAAGCTTAGTTATGACTGTCTACGGTTACAGAAAAATATTTTGAACAATGTACTCAATATCCTAGGTAATTAATGTATGTCAGAAAAGATTGTACTTCTTGAAAATTATGTAAATCAAAAAAGTTTTGGGGGCTGGGCATGTGGCTCAAGCGGTAACATGCTCGCCTGGCATGCGCAGGGCACTGGGTTCGATCCTCAGCACCACATAAAATAAAGATGTAGTGTCCACCAAAAACTGAAAAATAAATATTAAAAAAATAAATATTTAAAAATTCTCTCTCTTCTCTCTCTTTAAAAAAAAAAGTTGGGGCTGGGGATGTGGCTCAAGCGGTAGCGCGCTCGCCTGGCATGCGTGCGGCCCGGGTTCGATTCTCAGCACCACATACAAACAAAGATGTTGTTGTGTCCACCAAAAACTAAAAAATAAATATTAAAAATTCTCTCTTTAAATAAAAAAAAAAAGTTTCAGGCTTTGAAGCTATCCATTAACTACCTTGTGGGGTGCAGAGCAGGCTGAACTGTGTTGTCTGCAGGGCAGGCTGAACAGATGTTGGCTGCAAGATAGCCCACGCACTCAAACCCCCCTCTATCTGGTCCTTTATCACCTGTTTGCCTCAAGTCTGAACATTCAACCCTGCTTAAGGCTGAACACTTAACCCCCCCTTGGGCCAACAAGGCAGCTTGCAGACCCAGAGGCCCCATTAGATTTGGGCTATAAAAACTCCCTCCTGCCAGGCCCCCCTCTCTCTCCCTCCCTCTCTCTCCCTCTCTCTCTCTTGCTCTTTATCTTTCTTATGTGCGCTCTCTGTCTCTCTCTTGCTCTTGCTCTCTCCCTGTTCATCTCTTCTCTTTTCTCTCTCTCTCTTTCCTTCTTTCCTTTCTCTTTGTTGCACTGCTGCAATAAAGATCTTTTGGTTGCTCTGAGTGTTGTGGTCACTTTCCTTTCA